CCTGGCTCTGCCTCCCGAGTGCTGGGATTAAAGGCGTGCGCCACCACCGCCCGGCGGGGTTTTCTTTCTGAAGCTGACAGTGCTTGGGAGCTGGGGACTCAGTGTCAGGCTGGCGGTGTCCTGCTGCAGATGATGTGGGGGTTTGTTCTCCATCTCTTCCTGATGGTGGGAGGTAAGTACCAACTTAATAGAGAGCATGGCTGGGAGTTTTCAAAATAATTCTCCTTCAGCTAAATGATTGCAACTTTTATAATGAAGGAAGAAGTCTTTGCCGAGAGATGTTTTCTTTTTCTTTTTTCTTTTTCTTTTTCTCTTTTTTTGAGACAGGGTTTCTCTGTGTATCCCTGGCTGTCCTGTAGCTCTCGCTATAGAACTTCTTGCCTCTAACTCTCAGAGATCTACCTGCCTCTGCCTTCCCAGTGCTGGAGTGCTGGGATTAAAGGTGTAGGCTACCATGACCAGGCTCTCTCTCTCTCCCTCTCCCTCTCCCTTTTCTCCCCTCTCTCTCTCTCCCTCCTTCCCTTCCTTCCTCTGAGGTACCCACAGTTACTGGCCTTCTAATAATAAGCATTCTGCAGTTCCATTGCTGCTGCTGTTTATGATACTCATTGTTTATCTTAATAACTTCCTGTCACTGGAAGTTTTTCTGCACTATATGGAAACATTTATTTTAATTAAAAATTGTTTTAGAATTCCATACACGAATAATCTATTTACAGCATTTCCACCCTCCCTTTCCCTTTCCCATTTCCCCCGTCCCGTGTCTCATAGGTGCTTCAGGACAAGGCGTGGAGCAGCCTGCCGAGTGGATGTCTCTGGAGGGAACCTCTGCTCAGGTCAACTGCACGTACAGCACGTCAGGGTTCAACGGGCTATCCTGGTACCGGCAACACGAAGGCCAAGCACCTGAATTTCTTTCTTATGATGTCTTGGATGGTCTGAAGGACAGTGGGCGTTTTTCTACATTCCTGAGCCGCTCAGAGAGGTACAGTTACCTCCTTCTGACAGAACTCCAGATCAAAGACTCTGCCTCTTACCTCTGTGCTGTGAGGGACACGGTGACTGTGACGCCTCCGCAGCTGCACAAAAATTCAAAGAGGGCCACAGCAGGGCCAGGGTTATATTCCCTTAGTGTGTGCTTGGTGTGAACAAAAACTGGGTCCCTCGGAGACAGCCTGGATTTGAGTTCGCCACTTTCTAGATGGGTGGTGTTAAGCAAGCCACTTTAACTTAAAGTAATTTTTACATTTGTTGATTTTTTTTATTGTTAGTTGAGTTTTCTCATGTGTAAAATGGGGCTCCTGATAAACGGTGCCTGCCTCACAGGGGTGCTGGGAGCTGCGTCTACCGCTGCATAGTGTAGCAGAGTGGGGCTGGCTCATAGCAAGCCCGCTGGAAGCTTATTATTTCACTTGCCATCTTGATGCCTCCCTTAGGGTCACTCAGCAGAAATGCTGGGATTTGATCCAGGATTTCTGTATCCTGTGTGGGAAGTAAAATGCTGAAAATGCTTGAATCTTCTGAATCTAAAGCTGCAAGATAGCATTTGCTCATGAGGCAGGTTTTTTTTTTTTTTTTTTTTTTTTTCCAATCTGGAGAAACACTGAACTTTGGAATTCCAAATGTGAGTGTTTCAGACTATGATGGTAACTATACTGAGTAATTATATAGGGCTATTTTCATTATGTTTGTTATTATTATTATTATTATTATTATTATTATTATTATTATTATTTTGGCTTTTGAGACAGGGTCTCACTGTGTATCTCTGGCTGGCCTGGAGCTCACCACATAGACCAGTCTGGCCTCAACATAGAGATTTACCTGCATCTGCCTGCATTTACTTTTAACCCCTGATTGGTGGGGTTGAACGTTGTGTGCTGCTGTGCCTGGCTCTCCATAAGGTTTATTCTTCAGAGACAAAGTGGGTAGCAGGATAGACACAAAGTTCCAAGGCTTTATACTTGAAGAGTATGCACACAGGCCAGAGACCTGTGGAAAACAAAGTGTAGGCATTAGCAACATGAGGAAACAGGGTTAGAAGGGACGGCCATTAGGGATCCCTGGAATCAGGAATATTAACAATTTACAGTTAATTTGAAGATTTTCCTTTCCTGATTTGAATTCCTTTATGAGATCTTTAAATCCTTTAATGAAGCTTATTGACTATCACAGCCTCCTCTTGGTTAGGTTCAGAGAAACATGATTATTACAGACTGTGCTTGAACTAAAGCTGAGCAGATCATGCAAGCTCAGATGTAGGTTATGTTTGATGTGAGAAATGAGGTGTGCCTCAGGTTAGCACCAGGTATAGTCAGTCATGTGATACATGCAGGTGGTAACTAGGATGCAACCAAGTCTCCAGAAGAAGTAGGAATACTTTTTCACTAAAGTTGTATAAAACAGTGGTTTTTCAGGCTGTGCCTTGCCTGGAGAGACCCCATTTTATAAGTAGCTTTTGACTCCATTGTGAAGGTGGAGGATGATTGTTTCCCTGGGCAGAACCAAACACTACCATCATTCCAACACCACTCATGCAGAACGAATTGAAAATGCCTCATACCTGGGAGTAGCAGCCTATGAATTTATTAGGTAAATTGTGACTGTTAGGGCATATGAATAGATAGATTAAGATTGTATCAGGGAAACCAGGACCCAGAACTTTCAGACATATTAGTCCAAGGAAAGGGTAGAACTCGTTTACCTGGACCCCATAAAGTGATGGATGCCTAGCACTGGATGGCAACAGTCCCTCCCCAGTATATAATCTGATACCAACCACAGGTAGAGAACTTTCTATTGTTCCTGGGCCCTCAACTTGGCTTGGTTCCCCACTGTTGACATGTCTGTCTATCCACCTGCTTGCCTGTATAGATCTGAATCCATTGTTTCCTGTTTTGACCCAGTTCTGCCTTCTCATGTCCACAGCTGACTGCATATTCATACAGATGTGACTCTCCCAGGGCCTGATCTCTATACCAACAGTTTCCTTACAGCAGGCCTGGGGGTGTTGCTTTCATAAAACTCTACTTGCCTTTCAGTCCGTTTCTGAAACCTCTTGAATTCTTCTGTAGCCTCTTTGACTTGTATTCATCCTGTAAACCACGTTTATGAACATATAGATATATTTACTGTGTTCTGTGTGATATGAGAGTTAAAATTAGTCATTAAGATTAGAATAAAAGAACCTGCACCTTCCTTGGCCAGATTACCATGATAGGCAGGATCAACTGCCTAATCACTGCCCTTGAAACCAGTGAATCTTCTGTTTTTACTGGTATTCGATAAATTCTGACATTGTGGAAATACATAAACATATTTGCCTATGTTTCTGGCATAGGATACTTACAACAACAACAACCACCACCTCCACCGAATCAAATAATAACAGAAAGAAAACAGACAGTAACTTGAAATAGGGGGCATTAGTCTGACTAATTTTTGCCTTCATTAGGGAAATGTGATTCCTTCTACCCCAGGAGTATGGTTTGAATCAATTTCCAGAGGTGGCAGAGGGGTGCTATACAGATCAGGTGATCAAATTAAGCCTGCTTGATCTTTCATTTGGAGTTTTCCAGCCTGGGACTCCCTGCTCCCTAGCCAGATATAACTCATCCCCTGGTATATAGGGGATTAAAATTTCCACACGCAATACTTACTGTGGTTGAGGCTCTGGAGGAATGTGGCAGACCTGCTCACTTGAGTAACTTTGTGCCAGCCAGCCCTGGGTTCCTCTACAGCTATGAGGGAGGGGCGGTTGCTTTCTCAGGCTGGTAAACTCCTGTTCATGCTTTCCCTGAGATGCATCTAGGTGAAATTCATTCATGGAGTCAGTTGATTCAGTCTGTGGGCTAGGATGACTGAGGCTGCATTGTTATCCTACCCCACAGGAGCACAGCTGTGGCACATCTGGGGTTTAATCTTTAGCCTTCACGTAGAATGTTTTGTAAAGCCTCCGTTTTTATAAAGTTGAAGTTATCTAAAGGCTTGACTAGGAGGGTGCATATCCAAGACTGGGAGAGCAATGGAGGAGAAAAGGGAAAATAGCCTTTATAAATGAGCCTCAGAAGCGTCATACCATCACTGCTGTTCTATTTTATAGGTCACACAGCCTGACACCATGTAGCAGGAGATTGTACAGGGTTGCTTGAGATCACTGGAATCATCTTGTTGATTGGCTACCATCTACCAGACCCATCTTCCATCTCTCTCTCTCTCTCTCTCTCTCTCTCTCTCTCTCTCTCTCTCTCTCTCTCTCTCTCAAAAAGTCTTACATATGCCAAATGGTGTGTAGCTGTGTCAAATCAAACGGGCAAGTGCATCAGATGGGGGTCACACTGGGTTTTTATTTCGAATAGAAAGGTGTCTCATTTCAAGAGCCAGATGTTGGCTTCACATTTTTGCCAGGCTCACTGATTCAGAAAGGCACAGCTGATAGGCAAAGGGGGCAACTTTTGAAATCAGGATGCAACCTTGAGCACGCACTCTGATCTTTAAAGAATGCTGATTCAGGGGAGGGTTTTTTTCTAGGATGTATCTTTACAATTTTTTTTTTTAAAGATGGAACTTCCTTTGTGTCACTAAATTCTTAAAAAAAAGACCCAGCACATTTCATTTACATTTCCCATATGACTTACCATATTGATTTTCTAGTGTTCAGGTTTACTTGGCAGAGAGGCAAATGAAACTCTGCTTGTCAGAAAGGGGTTGCCGGTGTTGACCACTGGGGCTTGGGCTGTTGGGCTAACACAAGAAACAAGTCAATAGGTTAGGTTTGGAAGACAGTTCTAGTTTGCACTTTGTAATGCTTACACACACACACACACACACACACACACACACACACACACACACACACCATGGCCATATGTGGAAGTCAGATGGTAATTTGCCAGACTAGAGTCAGCTCCCTCCTTCTACCCTGTTGGTCTTGAAGACTGAACTCATGTCATCAGCTTGGCCGCAAGAGTCTTTACCCACTGAGCCATCCTACTGACCGAATGCTGAATCTTTTGTTACTGGTTCACAGGTCTTTGAGACACATTTTCCCCACAAACCATTTTCTTGCTATTGTTCAGGTAGGTAGCTCTGTTCCCAGACTCTCAGATTCAATCAGTCTCATTTTCCTGTTGATTCTAACCAGAAAGATTTTTGATTTAATATTAATTTTTTTATTCTCCAATTTACATGATGTTTTCCTCCATTATTCCTGACTGAGATGTTTTACTTTCCTACTTAGGAGGAATTTCAACTATTTGTTGGAGCATTTTCACTGTAGCTGTTTAAACATGCTGTCTCATGAGTTTAGAATCGATTCATCTTGGTGTTGATGTCTGTTGTCATTTCTCATTCACATTGTGTTTTTCTATTTCTTAGAATGAGAATTTCTTATATATTTCTTATATTAAATCCAGCAAGCAGTTTGTCTGCAGAGGTGTGGACATTCCATTTCATAGATAAGAGGGAGGTGTTGCTTCCTCCTGGACCCACTGAGAGGCACTTGCTGAGGAACTGGACCATCGCTTGTTTCTGCCGCATGGACAATGGAAGTTCTGCTGTCTGTTCACCAGGTGGACTCTGGGGTTAAGGTTTTTATGTTGGCATTTGTCTGGAGCAGGAAGGGCACTGCCTGAAAGATTTTTTCCCTGTTGTTAGGCTACCACTCTTTTCATTGACCTTTGAGGAGCCCAGGCTTTCTTTGGATATTGTTTGGTCTATGCCTGTTGGTGGCCTGTCCCGGATTCTTTTAGATTTGTGTCAGCATGAGATATTGTTTTTCAAATGCCTTTACTTTGAACATCTCTGTGTCTTTGCATTTAAAGTGAATTTCTTGCTGGGAATGTAGCTCAGTTTGTACAGTGACATTTTGTTTAACCTTTACAAAGCCCTGGGTACAAAGTCCCCTGTCCCACATAAAATCAGTTATGGTAGCACACATCTTGGGAAATGGGAGCAGGAAAAGCAGAATTTAAAGTTGTCCTTGGCTACTCATCAGAGTCAAGGTCAGCCTGAAACATGTGAAATCTTGTTTAACAAAAAAGTTTTTAAAGTGAATTTCTGCAATGGTATAGCATTTAGTAATACTTCCTTTTAAAAATAAAAAGAATTGAGATTATAATATAATATTTCTTCTTTCCTTTCTTCCTCTCAGTTCCTCCCACCTACCCTGGTCTCCATCTGTTGCAAAGAGAAGTTTCCTTGATGAAGGGTGAAAACTGCATTCATCTGCAGGTATAAGGATGAATGTTAGAGTGCTGTTAGGGGTTTTGCTGGTTTAATAAAGTGGTGGTTGCAGGTACTCCTCTAATATTCATGACTTCACTTGCACTGAGTAGTTTTCCGTACCAGACATAGTTTCTCTCCTGGTGAGAGAAACTCCAATCGGTCTTAAGTCCAATTGGAGAGCTATTGGTTACTGACAAGGTGTGTGTGCCACCACTGTGCCATCACTCTGCCTACAAAATCCTTATTGGACTCAGAGTTTTTATTACCAAAGGATCACACAAAATTCAGAACTTAAACTTTCATCCATCTTTTCAGTGACATGTTGACTGAGAAAGCTTGACAAGTGAGTTCATGATGCTATATATGCAGGTTATTATAATTGAGATAAGAGATATTCTGGGAGGTGTTTTCATATATATTATCCATTGTTTAAAGTAGTATGCTAAATTACTGTTATAAAAAGAATATGCTAATATACTCTCTAGACTTTAAAAGGGCGATGGGAATTTGTGGTAACTTACAGTTAGTAAAAGGAATTGGTTGCACCAGTTCAGAATAACACGACTCTTTGAGGGTAACTTGTTCCTTGATAGTCCAAGTTAAAAATTTATCTCCATGGAAAAATGGACATCTAATCCCTTTTATGGAAGACAAAGAAGTAGTAAAAATAATTGACAGGAAAGAAAATTAGTAACTTAGATAACATTGCAAAAATATCACTTTAGGATATCAGTTACTTCAAGTACACATCAATGTGGACAAGGTGATAAACAGAAAAAACAAGCATCAGTTAGTTATTCAACTGTAAAGTATATTAGATGCTCTCTTTGTAGTCTCAGTTGAAAATATTTAGATTTTCTTTATAAATGCTAGAATTAGCACAAAGGCCTTCAGGTTCCCATATGATCCTATTTTTACTTTATACAAAAGTTCCAGAGGCTATGTTCCATGTGATGAAGTAATCAGAAAATAAAGGAATAATATGCATGTTCTTTAGCTATTCTAAGTAAGAAAAGGGGATTTTAAACAAGTATTTATGTCTCAAAAGGGAGAAGTATTTATGTGAATACACAGAAAGTAATTTGGAGTATTTATTTTGCCTCTGTAACTACTGGTAAACTTCTCAAATATCTTAAAAGTTCTAATAGTACTTAAGGTGTAGCAGGAATCTTAAAAGGTCTTATTAATTAATGAAACCTAAGGCCGGTTATTGGGGTGAATGCTGGAAGATCAGAGAAGCAGAACAAGCCACAGCTACCTCACCTCACCAGTTCCTCAGCTGATTCTGTTTCCTCAGACTGGAAACCTCTGAGTCCTCATCCAGAATGGGTCTCAGCTGAACTGTGCTGCTCCAAAGCCTAAAAACTTAACCAGCTAAAAGCTTCTAGTTTCTGGTCTTCATGCCTTAAATACCTTTCTGCTTTCTGCCCTCACTTCCTGGGATTAAAGGCTCACTTCTTGGGATTAAAGGCGTGAGTCACCATGCCTCGCTATTTCCAGTGTGGCCTTGAACTCACAAAGATCCAGATGGATTTCTGCCTCCAGAAGGCTAAGATTAAAGGTGTGAGTGCCACCATTTTCTAGCCTCTGTATCTAGTGGCTGTTCTGTTCTCTGACCCCAGGTAAGTTTATTAGGGTGCACAATATTTTGCGGAACACAATACCACCACATTAAGGTTTATGTTCCATGTTGGAGACAGAGCTAAGTAAGGCCCTGGATTGATCTATGATCACTACCCACCCTCCCCAACATCCCCAAAATGAAAGGAGTTGTGCTATCCTCTAAATGTCAAATATTTGCTAATGGCAGAGGACTAATTTCTCCCTATAAGTTAAAAAGTTAGTCTTATATAGGCTTATTTTGAAAAACTTGGAAAAACTTAAAGAGGTTGGTTATAGAAAGAAGTAGTATTTAAAAAGCAAGACAACTGTTTCTTTCCTTCTAGTGGACATGGTTTGATGTTCTGAACAAGTCATTGAAGACAATTTCAGAAGAAAATGGTAAACAACTGATTTCAAACAAATATTGAAGTAATCTAATATATATGCAATTAAATGTTTCATAAGTTTTGCTGAATAAAGGCCCATTTAATTTTATTTAGAAATTGTTAAAGATTTATTTATTTTATGTGTATGAATCTTCTGCCTGCCTGCATGTATGTGAACTATATGCATGCCTTGTGTTGTAGAGATCAGAAGAAGGCATTGGATGCCCTGGAACAGGAGTTACAGATGAGTATGAGCCAGCACATGGGTGCTGGAAATTGAAACTAGTCCAACAAGTGCTTTTAACCACTGAGCTATCTCTCCAGCCTAGTAAACACTCATTTTAAAAGACAGTGGCACATGCCTTTAATTCCAGAGCTTGGGAGGCAGAGGCAGGCAGAACTCTGATTTTGAGGCCAGTCTGGTCTACAGAGCAAGTTCCAAGACAGCCTGGTCTATACTGAGAAACCTTGTCTCCAAACACAAAAAAACCAAAACAAACCCAAAACAAAACCACAACAACAAAAAGACAGTATATAAAAACTAAAAACAATTCTTCAAATATGAAGTGAATGGGAAATCAAAGTCCAATATTTTACTAGCTGTCTTCCTGATAATGCTCCCCATCATTTTTAGGGACACATGTCATTTAACTACAGATCAAGCCCAGTTAAATGATATTTTGATAACCTTGCAGAAATGAATCATAGATCTATGTACTAAAACTAATATTTACAAATCTTTTCAGGTATGTTAACTATTTTAGTGGTTATCATTTACTCTAAGACACAGACTTAATTTCTTTTAATAATTTTTGTAAGACAGCAAAAAATATACTCTGGAACAGATAATCAAAATCAGGGTTGAAATTAATAAAATATGAATGAAAAAACAATACAAAGAATAGTGAATCAAATAATTATTTCTTTGAGAGGATGAACAAGGCTGACAAACCTTTGGCCAAATTAACCAAAAACAAAACAAAACAATCCCCAAACCAATTGATCCACAAACAAACAAAAAAGAAAAAAAAAAGAGAAGATACATATCAATAGAAATGAAAAGAGAGACATTGCAAAAGACAACAAGGACATTCAGTTATAAGAATATTTCTAAAAATTTATATTCTACCAAACTAGAAAATCTAAAAGAGACAGATTGATAGACATGTATGACCTACCAAAGTTAAATCAAGACAAAGTAAATAATTTCAGACCCATAATATCCAATGAGATAGAAGCAATAATTAAAAATCTCTAGCATAAAAGTAATCCCAAGGATAGATGGGTTCAGCACAAAATTCTATCATACCTTCACAGAAAAACTAACAGCAACATTCCTTAAACTGTTCTGCAAAATAGAAAGGAAGGAACATTTCCAAAATTCTTTTAGGAAGTCAGTATTACTCCAATACTAAAACAAGACAAAGACCCAACAAAAATGAAAATTATAGGCCAAAATCTCTAATGAATGTAGGCAAAAACATTTTCAACACAACATTTGCAAAATGAATTCAAGAACACATTAAAACAATCATCTATCATAATCAAGTAGCCTTCCTTCTAGAGATGCAGGGATGGCTCAACATATGTATCTCAATAAACATAATCCACCACAGAAACAGGCTCAAGGACCACATGATCATCTCACTAAAGGCAGGAAAAGCTTTTGACAAAAATTCAATTTCTCTTAAAGAGAAGAGTCCTGGAGAGTCTAGGAATACAAGGGACATATATCAACACAATAAACATAATATATAGGAAGACTATAGCTAACATCATCCTAAGTGGAGGAAAACCTCAAGCATTTCTACTAAAAATCAGGAACAAGACAAGAGTGTCCACTGTACCTGCTTCTGTTCAACAGTAGTCTTGGTTAAAGTAATTAGACAACTGAGGAGATACAGGGGATATAAACAGGAAGAGAAGAAGTTGAAGTATCCTTATTTGCAGATGATATGATTCTGTACAAAAAGTACTCCACAGTCTACACCAGAAAACTCCTTCAGCTGATAAACACATCTAGCAAAGTAGCAGGGTTGTCATAGTTAGGGTTTCTATTGCTGTGAAGAGACACCATGATCACAGCAACTCTTATAAAGGAAAACATTTAGTTGGGGCTAGCTTACAGTTCAGAGGTTTAGTCCATTATTGTCATGGAGGGAAGCATGCGGCATGCAGGCAGACATGGTGCTGTAGAGGTAGCTGAGAGTTCTACATTTAGATGGGCAGGCATCAGCAAAAAAGAGTGACACTGGGCCTGGCTTGAGCTTCTGAAACCTTGAAGCTTGGCCCCAGTGACATACTTCCTCCAACAAAGCCACACCTACTCAAACAAGGTCATACCTCCTTACAGTGCCACTCCCAATGAGCCTATGGGGGCCATTTCATTCAAACTACCACAAGAATACAAAAATCAACATACAAAAATCTGTAAGCTTACTATCTATAAATAATAAACAAACTAAGAAAGAAATTAGGAAAACAATACCATTTGAAATAGCCTAAAGTATTAAAATATCTTGGAATAAATCTAAAGTAAAGAAAGACTTGTACAATGAGAAATTTAGGAAATTGAAGAAAGAAATTGGAGAAGATATCAGAAGATGGAAGGATCTCCCATGCTCATGGATCGGTAGGATTAATACTGTGAAAATGTCCATGCTACCAAAGGCTATCTACAGATTCAATGCAATCTGATTAAAATTTCAACACTATTCTTTATAGGAATTGAAAAAAATAACCTTAAATCTCATGTGGAAACACAAAAGAAAACAGCCCTGAAGTATAAAAAGATTTCTGGAGGAATCACCACCCCTGATTTCAAGTGATACTATAGAACTGTAACATCAAAAACAGCATAGTCCAGGTATAAAACCAGACACATTAATCAGTGAAACAGAACTGAAGACTCACACATAAGCCCACACTCCCACAGTCTTCTAATTTCATTTTTATAAAGATGTCAACTACACCTTGGAGAAAAGACAGCATCTTAAACAAATGTGCTGGTCAAACTGGATAGCTACATGAAGATTGAAACTAGATTCATATCTCTCACTCTGCACAAAACTCAACTCCAAATGGGCCAAAGACCTCAACACAAGACCTGAAACCATGAAAGTGATAAAGGAGAAAGGAGGGAGGGAATAAACTTGAACTTAAAGGTACAGGAAAGGACTTTCTGAACAGGGTCCTGGTAGTGCAGGCATTAATATCAACAACTGGTAAGTGGGACCCCATGAAACTAAAAGCTTCTCTACAACAAAAGATACCATCCTCAGAGGAAAGAGACAGCCTACAGAAAGAGCAAAAATGTTTACCAGCTACACATCTGGCTGAAGGCTAATATCCAGAATATATAACAAACTCAAAAAACTAAATATCAAGAAAACAAACAACCCAGTTAAAAAAAATAAAGCATGGAGCTAAAGAAATAATTCTCAAAAGATAAAACACAAATAACTGAGAAATATTTCTAAAATATGTTTAACGTCATTAGCCACAAGGGAAATGCAAATTAAAGCCACTTTGAGAATTCATCTTACCCTATTCTATAATATTTGTAGCTTTGTGTGACTTCACCAGCCAGCAACTCCATTATATATAACCAATTCCTAGCACTGGGCTTCTTTTTTCCCCCCCCAAGACAGGGTTTCTCTGTGTAGCTTTGCACCTTTCCTGGATCTCGCTCTGTAGACCAGGCTGGCCTCGAACTCACAGAGATCTGCCTGTCTCTGCCTCCCGAGGGCTGAGATTAAAGGTGTGCACCACCACCAACCAGGGGGCACTGGACTTCTTTGTTATCCTGAGTTGCTCTAGGTTACTCTTCAGAACAGGTGGCAAAATGCTATTGCTGTAAACAGCACATACTTGAGTAATAGGACATGGAGGAGTCAAGTTGGCACTGACTTGGAAGGCTTTCATAGGGTTGGAAGATGCTATGCACACTACTGGACGGGAAAGATACTCATCAGTCATTTTTAGCTATAAACCTGGTGAGCTGCAGTAATGACCAGCCTGGCAAGATATGCCCCCTGGTGCAATAGTGACAGAAATGTCATGGGAATAACCACCTACTTTCTGACTGGATTTAAGGTCCACTCCAAAAGATGAAATATATATATATTTAAACCAGCTCCCAACAATTGTCATTATACCCATAGATTTATGCGCCTTTTGGCCTTCATCACAGAAGCTTCTTTTTGCAGTAGGTGACTATTAATGCAGAGATGCACAACTGGTCAAACTGTAGAGAATAACTGTAGGATGTTGAGCCCTAAATGGGATGTTTATGTCGCACTTCCTATTAAGGCTCAGGGATCATTGCAGAAGAGAAGCAGAAAAGGTTTTAAGAGCCAAAAGAGGTGTTTGACTACAAGGAATCAGGACTTTCCAGACACAGTAGGGCAGCTTCACATGTGAACTTATAGTGATAATGACAGCATGCATCAACCTGTATAAGCTCAAGCTGGTTCAAATCCCAACATGGAGAGGGGAGGCAGGCATGAAATCACACTTCTACATAAGGAGCTATTTGTAGTTGCTAGGTATTGGAGGAGGAGTGTTAGTTTACTTTACAGGTGTGGTCCCTGGGAGGTTCAACACACATCATTGGATGGCAACATACTCAGAAATATATAGACAGCAATTATTGTACTCAATGAGTTAAAAAAAAAAAAAGAACACCAAGTTGGGTATGTATCAAATGGAGGGTGGATTGAGAGGAGATGTAGATGAGGGTGAAGATGGCCAATGTATGCAATTCTCAAAGAATTAATGAAAACAATTAAAAGTAGATTAGAGAAAAAAAAACACCCAAGCTTTTAATTGGATGATTCATATCAGTCACAGTTTACTAACCTTATTGTTATAACTCACAATGCAATTTTTTTTATTATACTAATGGAATCATAAAGCCAAACCTAAATTTCAAACATTTTCAATATCTCTAAAAGGAATACATGCTGTCTAGCAGTCTGCTTCATTTCTCTGTCCTTTCAGCCCCTGGAAACCATTAATCTACTTTCAACTTTTACAGATTTGCTCATTCTGGCTATTCATATACGTGGAATTCTATGAAATGTCTTCCAATTCACAGGTGCTGTTTTACTTGTGCATGGCCTTAACATCCCTGGTGTGCGGTGCAATGTTTCCATGTCCACACAAGCTGATGTCATGGAAACTGCAAAAGCTTTGGAACCCTTCCTTCTTTAGAGGCTAGTGTGTTTATTGTCCATTTATTAAATTGCTAAATGAATGAGACTAATAACAGGAAATGTATTGAGTCATGAAACTTTTAATAATGCCCCTGGGCATTCAATGATGGCAAGTTCAATTAGAACCATTCAATGATCATTTCAAGATCTTGTGTTTGATGGATAAAAACCCCAGAGTTTGCAAGCCTAAGATATGCCTAGTGTAGGATTGTGGTCTGTGATTTTTGTATCCTATGTGTCTAAAGTGTAGGAGAACTGAATCATTAATGGAAGAATGGAATAGTTGGTTTCTGTTGTCAGTTTGGGGGAATTTATTTTAAACAGGTAAGATGGATAGATTTTATATGTAAAGATGTATTAATTACTTATTGCTTTGTGCCTTACAGAGAGTTTAACAGAGCCACTGGATTGATTACAGGTCTTTCTATCTTTTTCCTACCTTGTCTTTATAAAGAGTTTATTGTTATTTATATAAAATGGATGTTGATCAGGGCTGGAAGGAGATAAAGTCATCTTTTAAGGACTGTTCTCTCTTGAGGATGAACAGAGTAGCGGTCTTCCTATCCCGAATTACATTGCCATCTTTAAGGCCATTGTGAACATTGCAAGAAAGTTCTCCAGAGAGACACAGACAGACAGACAGACAGACAAACACA